CTATAGCGGTTATAGAAAAAGTTCTTCCTGCTTCTGTAGCTCTATTGTATTTCGGAGTTACTAAACTTAAATCAGCACTGCGAGTGTTCCTCGAATGTTGTTGGCTATTTAAATTTAATAGTCCGTTTAAGTACTCTGGAGTAGCATTAATAGTACGCTTGTAGATCATAATACATTTTCTAATATCCGACTCTACGTAAAAAGGTAACCAACCAAGATTATTAAACAGATTAATCGAAGAATGGCGAGGTTCAGCGTCAAGGATAATTCTGGCGCAGCGTTTTTGAAGTTTACTTACCGAATGAGCCATTTTAAAAACAATCCAACGCAATCCACCAGACAACACTTGAGAATCAGAGAAAACCAGAGACCACTCGCCAAAATGCAACAGTGAGAAATGAAACGTGTGTTCGAAACACGATATTTATAATCTCTGATAATTTGTCTGGTCGCGTTACTGTGCTGTGCCGCTAATTGATCTCATTACTGCATTGTGATGCTAATCGATCGCGTTGCCTGCCACATTTGGCCCAGGCTTGCCCGCGTTAATTGGTCGCGCTACCTGTCACAGTTGGCCCAGGCCAGCAAAATTACGTCATAAATTTTGCATACTAATTACTTTCGGAGCAACATGACGTCATTGGCGGCATCCCTTTAAACTCCATATGGGGGTCTATTACTACTCCTAATCTTGTTTGGGGGGCACAGTATAGTTTGCCCGAACAGGCAAACTGAACATTAATATTTTTCCCCAAAATGTTGGCGAGCGGGGGGGGAGGTCGCCAAAAAATTTTTTCCGCACATCTCAAAAAAAATTTTCCGGACAAATATATGAGTGAATACGATATATTTTGCATTATTTTGCCTGAGAATTTGCTTCTTTTGACAATTCTTTTGTTGCTTTTCGTCCTGAAAAGTGGTGAAGGGATTAAGGAGTTGATTTACAAACACATACCAAGAATTTTAGGTTAATACCAAGATGACATATTTTCCTCCGGAAGCGTGCATTATTGCAGGAAATGATGCATTCAAAACAATAATATATTTGTATATGAGTGGACAACACTGTGTGCTGTGTGCATGTGTAACCCAGAGAGCCCGACTACGATACAGAAATCACATTATTGGAAAGCGCAAAGTCCACGGGAAAATGGCCAACTTAAGGAACCCAGAAGATTACCATAGCTATTTTGACCCAAAAACCTTCCTCAAAAAGTTTTATAAAAACTTTAAAGGGGACGAAAATGAGGATCGATCTGTGTCGCCGTTTATAAAAATATTTCACGAGTTTTGGTCTAGCTTTAAGGCACCAGCAGACACAGAACTGACGGACGTTCGATATCGTGAGTTTGGTAGTGGACCTTCTATAACCAACCTTGTTTTTGCTTGCCCAAACGTGGATCATATTGTGTTTTCCGAGTATACAGAAGCGAATAGAGGAGCGGTGAAGTCGTGGATTGCTGGCGACCCAGACGCCCACGACTGGATGCCTTTAATTGAAATGTCTGTTCTTGAACTCGAACAAGGACGTAGCATTGTAGATGAGAGAAGTGAAACCTCCGCAAAGCTCCAATAGTCCAACTTGATAGTGACGATGTTGCCAAACCATTTGATGTCGTGTCCACCAGTTTGTGTCTGGAGGCATGTGTGTTGTCTGAGGTGCACTACAAGAAAGTCGTCGCAGAACTTTGCAAATTTCTCAAACCAAACGGTTACCTATTTATGAACGGCGTGCTAGAGGGAACGTTTTATTTTGTCGGCGAAGAAAAGTTTTATAACTTTCCCATAACTGAGAAAATGGTGAAAGAAGCAATGATCGAAGCAGGAATCGAAATTGAGAAATATGTAACAATTCCAATGGTTCCAGTACATTACACAGAAGTGACCGACTCTAAAGCTTTATTTTATACTTATGGCAGAAAATCTGCAGAAAAGTGACGGTGAACACAAACTAGCAACAATTATTACTTGGATTTATACTGTAATTTGATAAATATAATTATATATATAGTTTTATGTAGCAAGTATATATACGTATTAGTATAGTATACTTTCTCAGATAAACAGGCATGCATATCATACAAAAATGAGACTGAGCTTGAAAGTCAGCGAAATATATATTAAACCAATGTATTGCATATTTTACCTAAATAATTATATTTACAGTATTTTCCTAAACGATTAGTACATGTAGATTGTAGGATGCAGTAGTTTTTATTGAATAAAATACTTTCAAAATTTTGCCTAGTTTGGAGCTCCGGCGGTGACCTTGACACCTCACAATCAAAACATTCTTTTCAAAACGCAGGATATGAAATTTCAAACTTGGAATTGCACAATCCATGCAATGTAGCTTTTATTGAATAAAATACTTTCAAAATTTCCCCCAGTTTGCAGAGATGTGAACCCTATTAAACCACCTAAATTGCGGGTGATGCCAATACACTGAAAAACTGTAACAACCACAATGCCAAGAACAACTATAGCTTTTGTAGCATAAAAGAACACAATCCATCCAATGTAATTTTTATTGAATAAAATACTTTCAAAATTTTGCCGCCCAGTTTGCAGAGATGCCAACACTATTAAAGCACCTAAATTGCGGGTGATGCCAATATACTGAAAAACTGTAACAACCACAATGCCAATAACAACTAGCTTTTGTAGCATAAAAGACGACAACTTTTCTGTTTTTGTTTAAAATACGTAAATGTGAAGTCCTCAAATGTATTTAGAGCGAAGTTACAGAATACATGGTTAAGGTTACTCCACATGATGGAAACGCATTTCACCAAAATGCCCACCGCGCGCTCAATTTTCAAGTTTTCCCCTTCAAATTTTGCATGCGTAGTGATAAATCGTTGCTGTCGCTAACGATTTGCCAAAAATTCTACATCTTTAAAAACTGTACTTGCTACGGGTTGCTTTTGAAAATATGACGGCCTTTGCGCCACGAGATTAGGACGCTTCCGATTTGGCCTCAAAGGCTTCCGAAACATAATATTTCCTATCTCAAATGGTACGTCAAAGAACAACTAACCGTGTTCGCGTTTTTTGACAGGTATTGTATTTGCTTTGGTATAAAGCAGACAATTTGACTCATCTAAATTTTTGGAAAAAAACGCGAACACGGTTTTGCTCCTGAACTATTGTTCAACATTGTGGCCAAGTTTGGAGGGAATCGGATAAAACGTGGGCGTTTCTAAAGTATTTTTGTGGGGACAATCTGTGAATATTTCAATCTCCGTAAAAGACGATATTAGATTTGGCGGGGTTTTTCCGCTCTCTGTTAAGGCCCTGTCACACTATTGCGTATCGTACTAGCGTATGCCAGCGTATGAAAAATATCACTCATACGCCGGTATACGTTGACATACGCTAGGGGTATGTTAGACATAGGTTTTATACGTTTCAAACACGTTCGTGTACGGTGGCATACGCTGGCATACGGCGAGGCAGAAAATTTTGTTAAGCATGCTCAAAAATTTTGTGCGTATCGGACGTATGCTTTAAGGCCGGCGCACACTAGAGCTATGTGCTTAGCAAAATGTCATTCGTGACTGTTGGCGTAAGGAGATAGCTCTCGTGTGCGGGCGATTTACGAACGACTTTTGTCGTTCGTGCCACTTACGCCAAATATCTAACATGTTTGATAATTTCTGCCTCGCGTGCCAAAATCTTTCCGTGTGCGGCGAACGAAAGCTATCTGCTTACGGATTGTCGTAACAGCGCATGCGTAGTATACGAAAGTAAACATTCAAGATGGCGGCGCAAAATGAATTGCTGGCCGAGGCAATTTTAGAGGACAAACTTGTCGAACTTTGGCCTGAATACAAATGTTTATACGATGTGAGTTCTGCAGATTTTAGAAATAGGGACAAAAGGGAATGTGCGGTGAAAGAAATAGCCAGTAAGTTTGTCCTCTAAAATTGCTTCGGCCAGCAATTCATTTTGCGCCGCCATCTTGGATGTTTACTTTCGTATACTACGCATGCGCTGTTACGACAATCCGTAAGCAGATAGCTTTCGTTCGCCGCACACGGAAAGATTTTGGCACGCGAGGCAGAAATTATCAAACATGTTAGATATTTGGCGTAAGTGGCACGAACGACAAAAGTCGTTCGTAAATCGCCCGCACACGAGAGCTATCTCCTTACGCCAACAGTCACGAATGACATTTTGCTAAGCACATAGCTCTAGTGTGCGCCGGCCTTTATACGATAAGCATACTCTAGGCACACGCTGAATACGCTAGGGGGCACCATGTGGGCTGGAGTGGAGTTTTGGCTCCCCCAGTATAAAAATGCCCTCAGGGCCGCGCCGAGTGGTTTTTGGTTGGGGGGGGGGGGGGGAAATAAAAAAAATTAGGCCCCCTCCCAATTGGGCCACCCAAAAAAAATTTTGCAGAAGCCAAAAAATTTTTCCGCAAAATACTGGCGACGGGGGAATGGGGGGGAGGTCCCAATTTTTTTTTTAAACACTAAGTTTACATAATGGGGGCTTAAATTTTGTTTTGAAGACCTTTTTAGACCAATTTTCCAGAAAATTTCTTTTAATATTTAACATGTTTCGCAATTCCAGCTTTCCAGGGCCCCTCTCCGCAAGTTGGGCCACCTTTTTTACTTTTCTTTTACACACACACACACCCCAGGTGGCACGGTCCTGAATGCCCTGCTCATGGGTAATCGAAAATTATAAATGGCGAAAATTACCGGCCATGCCGGCAACGGCAAACTTTTTTAGGCCGAGCACGACCTCCAGTAATATATTCAGCTCAGTGGTTGAATATTGCAGCAACAGAAGTGGAAGCATTGTTTCAAGCGCGAAATTTAATACGAAATTTTAAAACATTCCATTTCAATTTTCAAAGACCAAACAGAAAACATCAATTTGTTGTCAAGGACTAACCGATCTCATTAATATGTATACATTTAAAGTCATCTCAAGTCAAAATCTGATATATATTTATCAAGTTTAAACATTTATTACTGTAACGCAGCTTGGCACATTGTAATATTAAATATCTGATGCATTTGACATTCCCAGATCGCTCAGATAGGTTTACTCGAGAGGAGCTAAGGTGAGTTTTGTCTGTTTTACAAAGAACCGTTTTATAGAGTAAGAATACCCCCTTTGTTTACATTTTGCGGACTGGCAAATTCCGATACACAAACGATTATGTTCTCCATTGCGATTTGGCAATACACTTCAAAATAGCGAAGCTCTCTTGGGACTTAATGTTAAAGG